GATGTGTGATTTATTCCTGTAACAAATCTGAATTAACATTGCAATAACATATTTTCCACAATCAATTACCCATTCTTAAGGATATTTACTCCTAAGTCCTTAGTGAGTAAACCTTTAATCATTCATCCTAAGCCCTATGCCCATATAAACTTACCGATGAAATTAAGCATTATTAAATCAAGAATAATCTGGTTACTATAGAGTATCCCTAGTCCTAGATGATATCTACTATAGAATATTCTCATGAAAGCATTACCAACGGCGATCCAACCCAATTGATAATCATACATCAATCTCAAGTTGTCAGAAAGAAAAAGCATTAAGAACGTTAAAAGAATAAATTAATTATGAAGAATAATATTGCCATTGCAACTAAAAACTCAAAGTCATTACATATCCGAATCAGGGATACCCCCTAGCATTGTGGGGTTTAGCTACTCATAATATTCAAGAAAAAATAATAGTAAGTGTAGACATTGCAGATTAATGATGAAAATTAAGTCTTCAATTGCTAAAGCTCATGAAAATATTGATTCCAAACATAAATTTGAGTTCTCCAGCCTTCAACATTGTTCTTTGCCATAAAAAATCGTCCAACTCGTGAGAATTCACGCTCCTGAATTAAATACACGCACAATGGGCTTTTCAGCACGATTTGGGCCTCCATACACGTATGGCTATGGACAACGTAGATCTCATACGCGCACAAAACACGTTCAACTTGCCTGCAAGGACCCATACGCGTATGGGCGGAAGAGATTTTTGCCTATGTTTCAATGCTTTGCGTAAGGAACGCGTACGAGCTAGCCTTACACTAGGACATACGCGTATAGTTCATTAATGTTGTAAGAACCAAACATTAAAGAACCACATAGAAAAATAAGTTGAAGCATAAAAGGCATAAAATAAACCAAAACACGAAAAGATGAATGAGAATAAACCAGAACTTGAAAATTAATCATCTAAGGCCATCGACACAAATGAGGAACAACAATCTTAACTCAAAATCGATAACATAGACAATATACATGAAACTTAGAAGTGAATGGTGTGGAAAATGAAATGAACATGAAACTTTCAACCATACTCAATAATACCCGAGGGGAAATTTGAAGAAGTTAGATCTGGAAGAAGGAAAAACAAGTGTTATTGGAGAAAGAAGAGAGTTGTACGGAAAAATCTTAGAAGAAAATGAGACTATGAAGACCAGTGAAGATTAATGATTTAAAATGATACTATTTATATTTTTACTTGGATAATAAGATGTTCGGAAATTGAAAGGGGTTCTCAAAACCATATGTCAATTGACAATATAGGACAATCTCATTTGCCAATGAAATATTATTTAATAAATTACATAAAAAAGTCTTTCCTAATATAAATTTAATTTTGCTTTAAAGATAGTTTAGGGTGTTATTAGACAATGTTCCATTATTAATTAACAACTTGATTGTTTACCTATTTACTAAACTAGGATATTTTTCAATGGATTTAATTTTAATTAAAATTTACCAATTACTTATGAACAGCTGTCAAATCTCCCGTTTCATATATAAATTTGTAATTGTAATAAGCCACTTCCTCCATTTCAAAATAATTGTTATATTTGATAAAATTATTTATCTTAAAATAAATGTTATTTTTAATTTTTAATGTAATTTTAATTATTATTTTTTAATTTTATTTTCTAATTAATATTTTTAGTTTATTATTCTCTCACTCTACATTTATGATAATTTGAATATATAAATAATAAATAAAGATATTTTAATAAAAATATTATTCTCTCTCTTTTATTTATCACATTTTTTTAATCCGTGTAAAATGTCTAACTATGATAATTATTTTTGAGACAAAAAATATTTATTTTATGAAAACATGTAATAAACCATTTTTTTGACAGCATGTAATTAACTATCTTTACTAACTCACAAAATTTGCAAATAATAAATATTTAAGTTAAATTTTAACACAATAATATTAAACTATTTCGTTGGCTTTTTCAATTTTTGTTTTTGTTTTACAAATTTATAAATAAGTAAAACTAATAGCTAATATTAAAATCTTAATCCGTACATTGGATTGTGACAACTAAAAAGGAAAACAGCATATTGATTATTTTCAAATTCTTATACTTTTTCTTGGTCAACATATATTATATTATATTATATTACAGACAAATAATTTTAATTATCTTACTCTTATATTTTTCAAGATATTATATAATATTGTTTATTTTTGTTTTATTTTTAAAAATTATTTTTATAATATTGTATATTTTAAATTTAAAAAAAAAATTGATTAATTTAATAAGAAGTTAACTCATTAATCAAGAGGAAATGAATTTAACTTCTTTTATTCTTGTGAAGGCATCTTTAATCAATATTCATTTTGTTTTAAATTATAAGATATTTTATTAATTTTACACAAATTAAGACATACAACTAATTTTGTATTCGAAAAATAAATTATTTATAATTTTACAATAATATTTTTTATTAATTACATAAAAATTAAGAGAATTGAAAGAAGAGAGAATATAATGACATATAATTTGAGATATTTTTTTTATAAAATGACTTATAATTTAAAATAGAGAGAATAAATCGTAAGTGTCTTTTTTAACACATGTTGAACTTTGAGGTTTATTTTGATCTTTATAAATCGGATAGCTTAACTAATCTATTATTGGTTGTTCACAAGGCCCACGAACAAGACTCATTAGCGACTAGCGAGTGTTGAAGAAGAAGATGTACGGAACAAATGAATTCTCGCTCTTACCAAAGACACACGATAATATATTATCCTTCACATCTATCATCATTGGATCAAATTGAACTACAATCCACACAAAATAATAGATCACACACGAATAATTTTAACAGCTCATATTATATAAAAATTATTTCACATAATTTTAGATATTTAGTCCATTTTTATCTAAGAACTATTTTTCACTCATTCAATGATGAATGTTGGAGTGTTAAGCTTAAAATTTAACCCGTCTCTAATGCATCAAAAATCAGATCTACCGTATTAGAAGACTAACTCATTACTGTGTTAAAAGACTAATTCATTATATCTAAACACTGATCAGTTATCTCGTATTCGTGAAGGGAATATAATCTAATCTTTAATCACTTTAACTTCTGTCTCAATTTTTAAAAAATGTTGAAATCAATGTTAATAAAAAAATTATTTTATAATTTTAAAAAAATTCTTGAACTAAATGATAATAAAAAAATATTGTATATGTGAAGAAAGCTCAATTTTTTATAGGTAGCCGACACAGCACTACCTTGGTCCTAACACCAACCTTACAAAAGGCACATGCAGTTCCATTCATTCATACTACAATATAAAAATGAATTCAAATACTATAAAAATAGAATCAAACATGTAACCCTTCCAATAGAATTGAATTTGTCATAACCCTATTTTGGATTCATTCAGTAACCATTAAAATTCAAAGAGCCCCACAATTGAGTCTTGATTTGTGTTTATCCCAATCCAACCAAAGCAAAGAGAGAAAGTGTGGGTCAAGGCAAGTTCATGATACATTCAATTCAATGGCATGTGTTTATACATTATGTTATTGTCAGATATTCACACTTCTTTGCGTATCCATCATGCAATAACTATCAACCAATTATACCCCCTCACCCATTTTATCTCAACTTTATTAATGATATTCATATTATAATATCCTTAATTTATATTTTAAATATTTAATGCAAAAAGTTGAATCATTCAATATCAATTATAAATTTTTTAATATATTTGTTTTCTAGTATCTTATAAAAAGATTAGAACATTAATTATAATTAATTAGTTTTTTAATTAATATTATTTATTTATAATAATGGCCAAGAGAATATAACCATACTCAACTCGTCAACTTTTTTACCAAAAAATAATTATTCAATTTATTGTATTTTATATAAAATAAGAAAATTAATTAAAATTAATTAATTTGTAATAAATATAAAATTAAGTTCATTTATTTATATATATAATCCGATAGAATATAAGCATGTTGTACTCACCAATATTTTAAACAAAAAAATAACTACTAAATTTGTTAAAATAAAATGGAGATTTTAAACTAAAATTCAAATCACATTTAGTGATTAACTATATGTGTCATTTGCAATAAATTATTTTAAATGTTGTTTTAAAATAGAGATCAATGCTAAATATTTTTTAAGGAAAGTTAAAATATGTTTAAATAGTTTACAAATTTTATCTTAAATAACAAAAACTAATATAGTTAAGTTGAACGTTAATATCCGAATTCAAATTTTAAATTCTAATAACTATTATCAATTAGTTTACTTAAAACATATTTAAATGTTATATTTTAAAAGAAAATAAAATATATGGTGTAAAATATTTTTTTTAATTGTTAATTAGTGAATAGATGTATATACGTATATCCTATTAAATTATTTTTTATTAAAATATTTTCATATTATTAACTAATAAGATGTATATTTTATTAAATTATATTTTTATTTTTAAAATATATAAATATAAAAAATTTGATTGATTATATGTATAATATTATTTTAAATATTATTTTTAAAATTTGTATAAAAAATAATATTGATTAAATATTCTATAATTTGTTCATTGTAGTTTTGAGGTTGTTGGTTTCTCCTAGATGTGCCCTATTATCACCCACAGAATAACAATAAAATAGTACTGTGGTTGGGAATTTTTTTTATTTTTTTTTAAATTAATATATTTACCATGTACTACTATTACATTATTTTCTTGTTTTTATTCTCTTTATTTTAAAAAATATTAAAATTGCTACCAAAACCATTTCCAGCCCCAAACCTGAAATTCTTGAAGCTGAGGAAAAAAAATTGTCCTTTTTTGAGAACCCATGGTTTAATCCTTATTTGCTATAAGAAAATCCATCTGGGGTTCGAAAAAAATCAAAATTTTTGAGAGATTTCAAAGAGTGATGTGCAAATTGAAACTGGTGAGTAAAAATGGCGAATCTTGTTCCCGGAGTGCTTTTGAAGCTTTTACAACACATGAATACAGATGTGAAGGTTGGTGGTGAACACAGATCATCCCTTTTACAGGTTGTAAGCATTGTTCCAGCTCTTGCAGGTGGTGAGCTTTTCCCAAATCAAGGTTTTTATCTGAAGGTTTCAGATTCATCTCATGCTACTTATGTTTCTTTGCCTGATGAACATGATGATTTGATTTTGAGTGATAAGATTCAATTGGGTCAGTTTGTTTTTGTTGATCGGTTTGAAGCTGGTTCTCCTGTTCCTGTGATTAGGGGTGTTAAGCCTGTTCCTGGTAGACACCCTTGTGTTGGTAGTCCTGAGGATATTGTTGCCACTCATGAGCTTTCATTTCTTGATAACAATGGTAGTGATACTAGGAGGAATAAGAATAATGTTGTTTCTTCTGAGAGTCCTAGGAATGTGTTTGGTAGCCATAGGAATGTGTTTGGTGTGAAGGAGAAAGAGAAGAAGGAGAGAGGGAGGTTGAGTTTTGGTGGTGTTATTGTTAAGGAGGAAGGGTTAGAGAAGAAGGAGAGACTGAGATTGAGTTTTGGTGGTGCTAGTAGTGTTAAGGAGGAAGGGTTAGAGAAGAAAAGAGGGTTTTTTGGTAGAGGTAGTAGTAAAAGTGAGTCTTTGAAAACAAAACCGGTGTTGAAGATTGATGTGAAGAGGGAATTGTTACCTCACCCGTTACCTAGAGTGAGGTCGGCGAGTTCGAAGTCGATTCCTTCTTCGCCTAGTAGTGTTTATTCATTGCCGAATTCTTTTGAGAAATTCTCTAATGGTGTTAAGCAGCAGAGGGCAAAGGTTGGTGGTAAGGGAGTGGAGAAGGTTGCGGGAGTGGTTGATGCGGGAAGAGTTGGGAAAAAAATTGGTTTGGGAAATCCAATTAGAAATTTGGTGCAAGGTTTTGATTTTGGGGCAAAGGCTCTAAGAAAGAGTTGGGAAGGAACTATGGAGATCAAGACTAAAGAGTCTTCCAAAATCAAGGGCACTGCTGCTAAGCCGGTAGTTCAAAGCTCGGTAAGTTTGATTCACGTTTATACTTTTTCAATTGTGGTTAATAATGAATTTCATGTATATTTGAATGGTTAATGGATGTATGCATATTTGAACACGTGAGAAAGTGATTATTGACATTCAAAATTGTGTTTAGTGGATGGTTAACGCTTGTAACACATTGTGATATTCATTAATCATCCACTGAACTTAATTTACCGCGTACGTGAATTGAACCGTCGTGCTAACCATTTCAATTGTTGTTGAAATTTGATATCAAATTTGTGTATCTAAATAACAGAACTCAATAGTTTAGATCTTATGTTTGTCTAGGTTTAAATAAGTCAGTCAAACTCAAATGATTATGGTTTGTTAGATTCCTAGGAGAAGCATGGCGACTGATAAGTTACCGTCTAGAGAGGTTAAAGCCCCGATAAAGCCCTCTAAGGAAGAACACAAGGCTCAAGTATCTATAAAGAAGGTGACTTCTAATGGAAATATAGAGGAACAAGAGAAATCAAGTAAGCAAAGGATTTCCTTTGTAAAGAAATCGGCAGAAGTTTCTAACAACGGATTACCCGGAAACATGGTCAAAGTTTCCCTAAGTACTAGAAAAGTGACAGATTCAAGTGTTCAATGGGCGTCACTCCCGTCATCTATTTCAAAGCTCGGAAAGGTAATTTTGATTGAAGAATCCTCGTGTCACTTTTACATTTAAGTTCTTTGATTTTTGATTGCATTAATGTCTGATGAGTTTTATTAAAACAACTCTAACAAGAATAATGTTAGATTCATATGATCGGATTGTTCTTGTGTCGGAAGATATTATTTGTCTTTGTTCTCCACGCATTACCTTCACTCAATGAATGCGTTTTTTCAGATAGATTATATTATGGCTTGCTGAATTAAGATGAAACTTTATGGAGTTGTTTCATTTTGTTCGTATTTTGTGTTCATATTTTTGTGATAGGACGTAATGAAGCACAGAGATTCTGCACAGCTGGCTGCAATTGAGGCTATGCAAGAAGCCGCAGCTGCCGAGAGTTTGTTACAATGCTTGAGGTATGACTATTTTGAGACTGACCAAACATGATATTTTTGGCAGTATCTATTCTGAATTCGCAATTCGATGCTACATACTAAATTGTTGCCGACACTTTTTTGCGATTGTTTTTGGCAGTATATATTCGGAGCTGACTAATTCTGCGAAGGAGCATAACCCACAGCCAGCAGTAGAGCAGTTTTTATCGCTTCATGCAAGCCTAAATAGTACCCGGACGATTGCAGAATCCTTATCTAAACCCATTCCAGATGGTTCATCTCCGGATTCCGAAAATAGCAAACTGGAAGAAGCACTAAAACAAAAATCAGATAGACAAAAACAAGCGGCTTCTTGGGTCCACGCAGCCCTGGCCACCAACCTGTCATCTTTCGCTGTTTATTCAAAAGAAGCTTCGAGTAATAATTCTCAAATTCAAAAGACTGCAGTTGGAATTCAACCCGCGTTAGTCCTACACAATTCAAGCGAAAATTCATCGTCAAAACTTCGTGTAAAATCTCGTCCGATAGTTCATTCCAAGCTTGTCTCACAAGGCATCATTCCTCGTAAATCGACCGATTCAGCAAATGGACACAAGCAACCAGTCCAACCACCCCCAGAGTGGATTAAAGGAAATAGTCTCGACGAGGTGGTTGGTTTGGCTGAAATGTTGCAGGTACAATCCCGAGACTGGTTTTTGGGATTCGTTGAAAGATTCTTGGACAGTGACGGCGACACTACCTTGTCGGATAATGGACAAATAGCAGGTATGCTCACTCAATTAAAGAGCGTAAACGATTGGTTAGACGAGATAGGATTGAGCAAAGACGAAGAAGAATCATTCCAGATATCAGCAGAGACAATTGACCGACTGAGGAAGAAGATATACGAATATCTTCTCACACACGTCGAATCCGCTGCAGCTGCACTTAGCGGCGGATCACAATCACAAGCATTGCCTCGGATTCAAACATCACATGTTAAAGCCAAAAGGTGAATGAATGAATGAATGCGTACATAACTTAGCTTAACAATGCATAATTTTAGGAATGAGTGGGATTAACCTTATTTTCTTCTCTCTCTATCTTCTGTTTGTACATAAATCCTATATGGGGTTTGAGGTATAGATGGAGTGCTAATTATTTGTTAGTGAAGATAACAAATATGATTTCTGAGGACATTGTTGTTATTTATTTTTTCTTCATTTTTCTGATTATTGTTCAGATGAAACTATACAAATTGAAACAATGAAAGATATCATCAGCTGATATTATTTTTTCTACTTCTCTTCTGCCTTGTATGTGCTTTTTGTATAGTTGTTTTGTTTCAAAATCATTCTTATTCCTATGTTTTCAACTTCGTTTTTTCTAGTTCTAGAAAGAAAGGGACACTGTACTATATTCATTACATGTAGGGGTGGAAATAGACTGGGCCGAGTTGAGTTTTACCAAGTTTAAGTCTGACCTGTCAAAAAAACGGAAGCTTAAGTCTGGCCTGTAGCCTGTCATAGACTTATTTTTAGGTCTGAGTCTGACATTTTCTAAGGCCTGATTAGCCTACATAAACAATTTAAATAATGTTTAAATAGACTAACAAACTAAAAAATTAATGAGACTAAAAGTTTGTTTGCATTGATTTATTTTAACTTATCAATTAACTTAAGTTTTGTGAGATTATTTACTTAAGATGACTTGTGAAAACAACTTATAATATTTTCACAAGTTTTTCAAGATAAACAAGTTTTATTTATGTATTTTAATTCAAAGTACAAAACATAACATAATAATATAAAAAAATTATTCATATTTATTTATATAGACCAGCCTATTAGGCTTAAAAGGCTTTTTCCATGGCTTGATTTCTAGCCTTTTTAACTAAATAGGCTTATAAAAAAGTTTAAGTCTAGTCTGAGTTTATGTAGACTAAGTCGTAGCCTAAACCTATATAAACTTGGCCGTAAGTCCCTATTATCGGCCTTGTCTTTTTCTACCCTTAATTACACATGCTTTAAGGAAAAGATGATTAGATAAACAGTTACTACTTTTCTTAAAATAATTATTAAAAGTGTTATATTTTTTGTTAAAAAATAGAAAAAGATTCTTTGTAAAAAAGGTATAAATGAAAAATTAATTAAATTGTTTGTCATAAAAAAATCATTTTTAATTTTATATTCTTTTTGCTACAATTTTTTTGTGCATGATATTGAAATTTAGCAGGATAAATGGTGGATATGATGTCTATAAGATAATGTGTACGACCTCTTATACCAGATTGTTTGATATGTAAGTATTTGTTGGCAGCAATTTTAGTAAAACAATATGCTGTTAATATTTTGCTAAATGTCTTGATATTTGTAGCAAACCGTTTTGAATGATGTCAAAGTAGATGTCTTGACATCTACCTCCTGAACTGATTTCAGCCAATATCAGTATATGTTTTTCTGTTTCCTGATTTCTAGCACTCCATACTTCAAGATTTGTAACTCACAGGCAGCGAAAAATATGGAAGAATATTTTTCAAAGTGTATGGATTTTATCTTGACCTGTTTTTATGGGAATATTCAAAAGAATTGAATATTGGATTTTAAAATCCAAGCCCACAGTTGCGCATATATAAGGACTTGCTTCCTTATTCAAACAACTGCAACTTTTGAAGAAGAATACTTTCTTTCTGTTTTAAAAAAGGTCTAAGTCTTTTAATTGTCAAACACTCTAGTATTGATTGAATACTTGTGTTGTTATTTGGATTGTTAATTGTGTATCATTCATAAGCTTTTAAGCATTGAATGATTGAAGTTTTTAAACTTATTATTTCTGTTGTTTCTTCACTGTAAGTGATTGAAGGGATTTGAGGAGGGCCTCATACCTAGGTGAGTCTTAGGTAGAAGTATAGCACGCAGAGTGATTAAGTGATTAGATCGTAAACTGGTTGTTTACTGAGGGTCTATGAATTGATACTATTTAGTGGACTTGTCCCTGGTTTGATAGTCTCCATAGTAGGTGTTGTTGTACACTCAACTGTGTGAACAATCTCTTGTGTTTTTACTGCTTTTGATTTTGCTGCTCTTTATTTGTAAACAAATATTTGTGTCGTGACATCTCATTCGACATCACATATCTGGTATCAAAATTTTAATTGGTATCAGAGCAAACATCCTACTCTTTATCTGAGTGAGATCCAGGGAAGATACTTTCTGGTACTATGGACAAGGAAGGAGGATTTGTGAACAGACCACCCATTCTGGATGGAAGTAATTATGACTACTGGAAACCACGTATGGTTGCCTTTTTAAAGTCTTTAGACAGCAGGGTTTGGAAAGTTGTTTTAAAAGGATGAAAATACCCTGTCAAATTGGGAGAAAATTGAGAACCTACTTTTGGGTTAAAACCAGAGGAAGATTGGTCTAAAGAAGAAGATGAAATTGCTCTTGCAAATTCTAAAGCCTTGAATGCTATATTCAATAGAATTGACAAGAACATTTTCAGATTAGTGAATACATGTGAAATAGCTAAGGATGCATGGAGAATTCTTCAATCTACTCATGAAGGCACATCCAAAGTTAAGATGTCAAGACTTCAGTTGCTCACCATAAAATTTGAGAAATTGAGAATGAAGGATGATGAAAGTATAAATGACTTCCATATGAACATTCTTGAAATTGCTAATGCCTCCAGTGCTTTAGGATAGAAAATATCTGAAGAAAAATTGGTGAGAAAGATGCTCAGGTCTCTTCCCAAGAGATTTGATATGAAAGTGACTGCTATAAAAAAATGAAAGTGGATGAACTTGTTGGATCCCTCATGACATTTGAATTAAGCATCAATGAAAGATCTGAAAAGAAGAACAAAAGCATAGCCTTTGTGTTGTACCCCAAAATTTGCCCTCCCATTTCTCAATGATTTCTCATCACAAAAACTTTAAAGCCCAAGATCCAGTTAGGGTTTCATCTGCTCAAGACTTCTCCTTGCACTGTTGACCCAAATTAGGGTTTGTGTTTGCACCAAGATGTTTTGACCTAAAGTGCCTAAGATGACTTTCATGCTTCATATTGGACTCCCAAGTTTATCCACATCAAGTTTCAAGCCTTGATTCCAAGTTTTGCCCAGTCAATTGGACAGTTGACCTAGAAATCAGCTGTATTGGGGAAAAAGTCAACTGTGGCCAACTGACAGTCAAACCTCATGGAAATTGACCCACATCAACATTATGAACTCATATGAACCATTTGATCAAGTTTGGATCACAATTCCACAAGAAATTTGATCAAATCACCAAAAGGGCAAAATGGTCATTTTTAGGGTTTTGACTGTACAAAGGCAATTTTTGACTGTTTGACCTAGCCAATGGCAAACCAAGCTCACATATGGACTCAAAGACCCCATGGAATTATCTTGACATGCTCAACAAACTCAAAAGATCCCAAGTACACAAGAGTGACAGTTGAATTCCCCAGTCAATTGATCAATTTTGACTGTACACTGAAAAGTCAAACTTTGACTTTTTGGTCAAAATCAAGAGTCAAGATTCATTTTTCATCAAAACATGTCAAATCATGAAACTTGTTCACCAAGAAATCACAAAATGCAAATTAGGGTTAGAAATTAGAATTTTTCATAACTTAGAATTTTTCTAAGTTATGAAAAACCCTAATTTTGTCCCACCTTTGTCCCACTTTTTCACCAAGATCCATTTGGATTCAAACAAAAGTCAAAACATGAAAGTTGTAGCTTGTTGCATAATCTACAACTTTTATTCACAAAGTTTTCCCATTTGAGGCTTTTATCTCAAGTTACAAATTTTTGAATAAGGGCACTAAACCATTCTTAACTTAGTGAAATTTTAACCTATTTTGACAAGGTTTTCTACCCAACTTCAAGGCCATTTTCCATACACTTCCACTTGGAATTTCAATGTGCATTTCAAAGAAGGATTGTAGTACACATTCCAAGCTTTCCAAAATGTCCAAGAACTTCTCAAACAACCTCATAACTTGAGAGAATCGAATTTTACAATTTGGCAAAAACTCACTTTTGAATTGATCATGAACATGTTCATAACTTAAGCCATTTTCAAGTCAGCATAGTTTGTGCTAAATTACAGGTCCTAAAACCCTTTGACACTCAATAATTCAATTCAAAACCTTTGTGCCAAGGCCTTGTTTCATGAGTTCAAGCATTGCCTAAAGGATTAATCCATTTATAGATAAAGCATTTCTTCCATTTTTGCAAAAGGTAACTTTATGTCCAATTGAAAATCCAAGCAGTACAAATGAGATCTAATTGGCACAAGATTATGAGCAAAACACTCTGATCAAGGAGGGATTATGCAGCTCATTAGGGGGCCTCTACTGACCTAGAACACAACTTGGGCATTTGTTGCTTAAAGTGTAAGTAACTTGGCATATTGTAACACAACTCTCAGATCAGCTTGAAAACACTTAAGTGAACTTGTGAAACACACTCAAGACATCCCAACCAAGATAGTGCACGACCCAAACATCTCTCATACACTCCCAATCTCAGAATCACCTTCAAACTGCAAAAACAGGGCCAGGCCTGCAGTTTGAGTGCCATCTTCCATTTCCCTCAAGCTCTCTTGCCCAAACCAGTTCACACACATTCCCTAGCATCTATGCAAGCTAACCATGACTTGAAACACGACCTGTAATCCCTCTAACCAGTTCCACCATTTTCAGTTTCTTGTTTTGCAGGTGAAGTGCTCTAGCACGATTCAAAAGCTTTCAAGACAAAGTAAACATTGGAATAACATCCCTGGACCTCAAGGAAGCTTTACCAATCATCACCTTGCACTGAAAGCTTCCCCATTGCCAGATAGAACTTCAACTGAACAGGTATTTTGGTGAACTTCTATCTCTCTTATTAGGCATCATTAGCTCTAAGTTTGTGAATAAACAATGTTCTACTCATGCCACTGAACATGTACATGTTTTTACTTTTCATTTCTTTTGCTTGAGCTGTGAGAATTTAAGGTTTGAAA